TACAATGCCAATGGAAAGTACTTTGTTTTACTGCTGCTTATAATGTCTTTTTAAGGTTAAAAGAAGACCTAAAACCCATTGAAATATCCAATAATATCCGATCTAAGACATTGTCCGGAATGATTATTATGGACACTGTCTGTACAAAGAAACAGAGGAGTCTATTACACTGTTGATGTATTAATTATGTCCATTCGCTGCCAACACAAGGAAAATTGTCTGGAAATGACACTGATTTGGGGTCAGTTCTGTGTGACTCATGCCACATGTTAAATTCAACAGGTTTCTGGACTGGACAACCAGCACAGTGAACTGGAAGCCTCTCAGAGTTACACTCTGTTCAGGAGAATGGAGGAAGAGGACTTAACTCTCCTATGGAAAGACCACAAGGTCATGTCACACACACACACACACACACACACACACACACACACACACACACACACACACACACACACACACACAGAGAAGGCTGGGAATGGAGTAGGCTACAAAGCACAAGAGCTCCTACACATGTATATCTAAATATAATAAATGTTAAATACTGAACATGTAGACCATTTGGTTTGTTAGCCTTATAATGTAACGGGGTAAAATATAGGGCTTTCCAAAGCAACTTAAAAAATGTGAAAGTTGCCTTAATAATCAACAAAAAATAATATTAAAAATGACTGTTTTCTAACCTGTGTAAAAGCCATGATGATAATAAAAGGTGTACCTTGAAATCTTTCATGGTGTTCTTCAGGGTCTTGATTTTGTGTCCCGAGTGTCCTCCTTCTATGGTGCAGGCGTTGCACACACACATCTTGTCATCCATGCAGTAATACCTGGAGTTTCACACCAAATAAAAACAGAACTCAGAAAAACCTTTCAAATGACTGTGCTTGCTAAAGGAAGGGCAGCTTTCTTCAAAAGTGCTAACAACTAAATATCTTTAAAATATTACTGTTGTGTCAAATTTTCATACAATAATTTAAAATATATATATTATGAGCTGCAGAACTTCTCTATCCTCTGAGGATGAAGTAGGTCTGTTCCTACATTTGAGATCGATTTCACTTGTATATAAACTGTCTTTATTAAATACAACAAAAGACAAACTTTGTCCACGGATCATTTATCAGTTTCTCTTAAGAATGTGCGCTCCTGCCTCCTACCTGTATATCTCATCGTGATCCGGGCACTTCCTCTTCCACAAGTCGTTCATGGGTTCAGTCAGCGGATGCTCGCGAAACGCCGGCAGCTCCAGATGTGGTTTCACGTGCTCCTGGCACATCGACACCTCACACTTCAGGCACGTCTTGACGGCAAACATCGACACGGAGGCGGCTGCGGCTTCCTGCTTCTCCATCACCACCACAGATCCTGAAGCAGCAGAATACTTGTCGTCCACAGCGCTGACGGCCGATGCCTCTGCAGCCGCTGCGGGGCAGTAGTCGCAGGGAACAGCCAACACACTCTTGCCTTGCTGCACTGAAAGACTAGAGGACAGCGGCTCTCTGGATGTTGAAGCTGCAGCAGCCGCAGTGGTGGTGGCGCTGCGCCGGTGCCGGTAGTCGTCGGCAATATTGGCTAGTTTGAAGTTTTTCTGAAAGTTGAGGCCACAGCGGTGGCTGTCGCGGCACTCGGGGCAGCGGAAGCGACCTCGATCCGCTTGTCGCCTTAAGCGGTTGAGGCAGTTCTTGCAGAAGTTATGGCCGCAAGGAAGCAAGTGCGGGTCGCGGTACAAGTCCAGGCACACGGGGCAGGTGAGCTCGTCCTGCAGGACGCTGGACTGCTCCGACTGAGCCGACGCCATGTCAGCGATGGATGGAGATGGAAAAAGAGGGAGTTGTGGGGATAGGAGATAATAAGGTGGAAGGTGAGGGCAGGTGAGAGAGGGATGGGAGTGGAGGGGGAGAGGGAGGAGGCGGCAGGTTTCCTGATGTGGAGCTCCACCCTCTGTAGGTATCTGGTTGCTTTAAGTTTAAGAAGAAACAGGGGAGGAGAAATGCTCATTATACATCAAACTGCCTTACATTAAGTGTTGAACCAAGGAGACGATTCAATACTTAGTTCACAGCTATGTTGATCATGTAACCAAGCAAAACATTTAAAACATTCAATTGACAGGATTTCAAAACAACACTTAAAGAAACTTTAGTTTGTTTGAGGGTAAACCTATAATTGTGTTTATCGATTAATGTGTGGGTTGTTTCATACATTTGTAGATTGATCATTTGGACTGTAAAATATCAGAAAATAGTACCCATCATGTTACATTACCCAAGGCAATGTATTTAACCCTTAAATGGCCATTCACATACAAATAAGTTTTACACATGGACACAGCCTGTCAAACAACTGTATCGCTCAGGATAGAGAAACCATATAGGGGGTTACATTGTATTTTCTGTTTAAAAACACCATCCAAAATCTAAATGTGAACAGGTCAACTGTGCCTTATATCAACCTTTTTGTGAGTCCATGTGAACGGATTTACTTACCACACCACAGAAAGTAAAAATGAAAGTAAAATGCACTTTAGCTTACAGTAAGGCCCTGAGACAACCTCTGAAACAAGTCTGTTGTCCTGCTTGCTCAGATAAGCTTGTTTAAAACAGACTGTTTCAATGCTATGACCTCCAGGTAAAGTAGAAACCTGCCAAGTGTTGTTGACATCCGTCAAAAAGTTGTATCCCAATTAGTCATCAGTGTTTCCACTTGTCGGCATGAGGGTTTTCACTCTGTGAATCTGCTATGAACACGGTGCATAGTAACTAAATAGAAGTTATGTACTTAAATACAATTTTGAGGGACTGTTTTTCTACTCCACTGCAATTCAAATGTAAATAGTGTACTTTTACTTACTACACTTATTTAATACTTTTGGTTACTTTGCAGAATTACTTTTTTCATGAGGGAAATTTTGATAGCAGGACTCTTACTTGTAACAGAGTATTCCTACACTGTGGTATTTCTAATTTTACTTAAGTACAAGAGTACTTCTTCCACCTCACGCAGGCCTGTGAACCTGCTCTTAACACGCTGTTAGAAAGTCGTTATTTATAGCACGTTTTCCCAGATCACAACCATTAGCCACATTAACACTAACCTAGGTTAAGGGGTCAACCAACCGTTAGCTAATTTGCTACTTGTTAGCTACACTGGCTGAGTTCCTGAGAGTGCAATAAGCTCAACAAACCTAGACATACAGACAGTTAAATGTTCTTCTTACCTTGATAAATGATGTCCTTTTATGTCGTCTTCGTGAAGCCGAAACACTGATTTCTGTAGCACAACAATGCTGCTAACGTTTCAAATATCGACAGGCACCTGTCCTACTGAGGCTAACATGTCACCGTTGTTGCTTGTTGTTTTTTTGTTTCCCACAAACATTCCGGTCTGTTGTGAGTCACCGGCCATTTAGTTTCCCATCTGGAGTTTTCTGCATTTGACACAAAAGGACGAGTGGAAACACACCTGTATGAAAGACAAACGGACTAAACGGCTAATAATAAACTGGGCAGGTTGATGCGGTGAAAAGGCTGCGTTCAGGGAGCCTCGGAAATTACGCTGCTATGCCATGTTCACCGGAAATGAGTGTCCGCAGAGGGCGCTGTTACATCAATGTTGCGTCACATTTTCAGAGAATGCTGTTGTTTTATCCAGTGGTGGAATACCAGAATTTGGAATAAGTCATTTGTTTATTTTAGTAAAATATTTGATCCACACATATTTTCCAACTTTAATGAACAATTATTGCAATACCACAGAAAAAGGCACATCACCTCACTGTAGTATACACTTGGCTTCCAAAATGTAGTACAGTAGAAGTATAAAGTAGTATAGCATGGAAATACTCAGGTAAAATACAAGTAACTAGAATGTGTACTTAAGTACAGTAAATGTGTGTAAATGTACTACTTTCCACCACTGGTTATTACTGTTTTTTAACTATTGCTTGAACACGGTTTTTAAAACAGGCCTTATTTTTATCAAAACTCTAATATGTAAATACATATATTGCCAAAACAACAAACATGCATTCATTATTTCCAAATGTATTTGTATGTTCCTTTAATAAATAATAAATTAGCAACAAATACAACTAAGAACTAAAAAAAAACAAGAACTGCAAATACAATAAATTATGTCTCCCATTTATTTTGAATATGCATGTATTGTAGGCTGTGTTGGAAAAGTACATCGTTGTCATGATTTTAGTTTTGTGTTTAGTCATGGTTTGATTTGTGAAATTCTGTTCTCCCTGTGTCTGGTCTTCCTTCCTGTGTCTAATTGTCACATTGTGTTCACCTGTTGTGTTTCACCTTGTGATTACCCTTCTGTGCATTTAATACAATACTCTTTTTATATATATTTTTTTTATTCATCTTTGTCATACATGAATTGAACATCATACATTTGACATACTGTAGCTACAACAGACAAAGTCCATGGGCAGAAATACAACGCAACAAGAATTACATACAGTAAGTAAAGAAAAAAAGAAAGAAATATATATTTTGATACCTCAAAATTAGTTTTGATTGCCTTCTTATTCCTACTGATTTAAATAGTGCTAATATATTGTTTACATTCTTGATAGAAATGTACAAAATGTGCTTTGGAGTAAGCCCATTTCTTTTCATGGATATGAAATGTCCCTAAAAATACAATTAACTGCACAAAAAAGACAACATCTGCAACCATACTATCATCCCTGAAGTACAAAAGAATTTCTTTGTCCTGGAGTTGAACTTTGTGTCCCGTCTTTTTCCGAATAAAACATTCTACATATTCTACAATACAAGCAGTCATAAAATAAATGGCCAATAGTCTCTTCTTGTAGATTACAAAATGTAAGATGTGTTGTCTTTTACTGCATTTGGGTCCTATATTCCCCAATCCTGACAATTGTAAAAAGCACATTAAAATAAAAATGTCTTTGATATGAAATCAGACTCAATACTCATTATATTCAATTACACTACCAGCATTATTAAAATGGAAGCCACGTGATTAAGATACTGATAAGGTCAATCATGGTTAAATCAACAAGTCAAAGAATGAATATCTGATTTTAAGAGAATCTCTATTAAACACCAATTCACCAAAAAATAATTAGTAACCTATTTTTCATGATTTTGTATCTTTCTGTCACAAATGCAACGCTTGTGTAAAACACATTAGGGAGGCTCTAGGGATAACAATGTTGGTCAGTCCACCGTTTTGGTCCAGACTGACATATCTCAGCAACTTCTGAATGGGTGGCCATGACACTTGGAACTGACATTCATCTTGTAGTCCCAAAGTGGTCATTCATGAAATCACTGTCCAGACATTTGAGGATCTCTCACTCTGAAGACGAGAGGACCCTGGATGGTGAAGCCAAGATAGGAAAGCATTGGGCCTGGCGCTGAATCATCATCAGGGTAAACTCGGGTTTTAGCTTCTATTTTCTTCCCCCCAGCCAAAACGTACACCATCTTGTGATCCTGTGGAGATAGTGGAGACTGGCATGGCTCCACGTTGATTGGGCTCAGGATGTCTTGGATTTCTTGGATTCGCCACACATCCCCTGTGATCCACATTTCATGGATCCGCATCCATTTCTCTTTCGTTCTCTCCCCTTGTTCATCAGCTAGCTCAGCGTCCACTTTTTCTTCCACGATTGCATCCAACTTTGATTTGTGAATCCATTTGCGAAGTCCAGAGCCCTTCCCCAGAAAGAAGAGAGGCAAAAGGTACCGACCTCGAAGGTACTTGGCATATCTGGTTCTCTCAAAAGCTTGCTCCATTAATGTGACATACTCTTGCAGATCAGGGTCAAGTAAGCGGTCAAGAGAAAGTTGTCCAAGCTCTTCTCTGGTTTCTTGATCATCATCGCTGGCCTCATCCTCCTGGGTTGTGTCCTCCGAAGAGTCATCCTCTGTGCTCTGTTGTTCATTTCCTTCATCCTCCTCTTCCTGCACGGCCTGAGGTTGTCCGTCAGACCAAAACAACAGCAGAACCAAAAGGTAGAACTCAGGGCTTCTGCAGCGTTTTTCTGTGTCCAAGAATCGGTCTATTATTGCTTGGAGTTCTTTCACCGGGGTGAGCCTAGGAGAGTTGTGCATCTTGTTGCTCAAGATGATGTTGGAGAGAATGTACCTCTCAGCTGCTTTGACATTGTCAACATTTGCCTCGTATTTGGCTTTCAAAAAGCGTTGGATTCCCTCCAAATGAGACACTGTTTCCTGGTGCTCCTTAAACAAAGCGC